GATGGGGCCCGGCGACTTGCCAGTTGCCTGGTGGGGCCTAGCTTGCATCGATGTGATGGCGGCTTCCTGGTCAAAACTGAGAGGAATGCCAATGGTCCCAACTCCCGACTTCTCAACTCGAAAAATGAGGAAGTTGGGCCTCAATGCCCTGGAAAGACTGTCGCTGTACACGGCCAGATACAGGACAAAGAGGCACAAAAAAGTGAGGCGCAAAAAAAGAAAAAGTTTGGGATCCCAGGAGCTCGCGACCGCAAGCTTTATGGGAACTGCTGTACTATGTCGGTCTCATTGGGCCGAGACATCGGCTAGCTAAAGCCGAGGCCCGGTTCGGCACTGAACCATGCAAGGTACAGTGGACCTATCATAAGGTCCACTTGTACCGGGCTTGTAGCCCTGGCTACACGACGGGGCACTGGGACAGTCTTCTCCTTGAGCCGGCCGAAGCCGAACTTGAGACAACAAAATGATTCTATAGCGATTGTCTGTTGTATAAATTACATTTGACCGCCACCTATATATTTCATCCTGTAATCGGTGGCTGGCTGGCTGGCTCATGTGTGGATAACAACTATGTACACGTTGGCCTGCAGGCAAGTGTGTGGCTCCTGAATCAATCGCCGCGGATTAAGAGATCAGGGTGACATAGTAGGTCTTTTGGTTTTGCCGGCCACCTTCGCCAGGACCTGCCAGGACCTGCCAGGACGCTGGCTGTGGTCTATATAATATCTGCCTATCGTTGGCATCTGTTGTGCCGTCAGCCCAACCACACACAGGTTTGAAATTTATATCGTGATAGTCTTATATAGTTATATTTACCGACTTGAACACCAATCACCACAATGCGCTCTGTCCTGGGTCTTGTCACACTTTACCTGGCCCTCTTACGTGGTGTATATACCACAAAATGTAGATTCCTCGATTGTTTTTGCAGCGATCCCTCCACACAGCCGCAAGTACCGCCCGGCGGCCCACTCGTGGAAATCGAATGCCCGACGTCATGTACTTGTTCTCCATGAAACCGTTCTGGTACGTGAGCAGCGAGTGCCTAAAAATGCCTCTTCAGAAATCATACCATTTCCTTTTTATCAGCTTTGCTTTGTTGCTATGATACGTAACGATAAATTGTTGTTCATCACATCCTACGAGTCGAACATATCCATCCCTCCTGCTGATGAAAGAATGAATCAAGCGTAAACTAACAATGACTTGGCATTTTTTTCACAGTTCTCTGGTTGGCTCTGTACTCGAAGATCGGTGGGAAGGCCCGACTCCACTGATCGAGAAGCGACTTGTCTACGATCCCGAAAATATCTCGTCTGGCTACGTGATCGATCTATGGACCTAGAGGCGAAGAATTTCTTGTACGAGTCGGCCACATAAAACTAAAACTTTCTTGGATATCATGCGCTCCGCTTTCTACCTTTCTCTATTCACCATTTTTCGGACAGAATTGTCTCTTGATTCGTCCCCTGAGGAAGAGATTTCTTGGGTTATGTTGTTCCCGCAGCCCGTAGTCTTGTTAAACTCCTTTCTCGTCGTCAGAATCAAATCAATAAAAGATGCCTGTATGCGTGTCCCTCGAAGTTGCTGTGATTGCCTAGCTCACGGAGTTATCAGAGCATCCGAATTGCCCCGATTGCTGAGTTGCATGGTCCAGCCAGTCAAACCGGAGACACGAACGCGGCGCGGTAAGGGCCAGCTAATCTGAATGGAAAGATGAATCCACGGGTTGAGTAACAGCCATTCAAGAGCCGTCCGATTTGATGGCTCTTTACCTGACGGCATGGGCGTTAAGAATTATCATGTAACACTTCAATCAGTGCCAATTGGTTTCCGTGAAAAGCCGGTCAGCTAAACTGAAAGAACGCGTTGAGCTAAACCCGGCTTGCTAAGAGTTTGCTGACCTCGGCTAAACCTCTGCATCTGAACATTGGTTGTCAGATCCTAAGGATCTTATAAAATGCCCTCCATACGTATCACCACAACCCTATGGAAGGAAGGGACTAGGCCTGGTATATTGCAACATAAGCTTGCTCTTGTGGACGAATGAACCTTCCCAGGTAGCAGGTGAGTATCAAAAAACTATACACATAGCAAATCCTTTTTTCGAAGAAATCCCATCATTTCCTGGTAATGATCAGTTTTGCTGTACTTCGCCTGTTTGAATAGTGTCCTTCTCTTCATGACGAGCCAAGCCTCTCTCTGACCGTTTTCTCGTCAAAAAGAATGAATCTGACAATGAACTAAACATGACCCCTTGCGTAACTTGACAGTTTTCTGATCGGCTTCTTCGCTCATGATCGTTTGGAAGGGAAGAGTTCACTAAGGATGAAATAAACGGACTAATTGGTGTATGATTCAGAAAAAAACTTTGTCTGTTTATAACCTCGTCGATCCACCAACTTTACAATCAAAAGATCACTTACTCAAATCTACCAAAAAATCTCAAACCTTCCCTATAACAATCATGGTCCGGGCATCAATTTAATCAACGGAAGGCTTTCTTTTTTTCCCATTCAAACACACATCCATTATTTATTTTAATTTTTTTGTTGCTCTCATAAGCTTGTAATCATGAAGCTTCTTCACTTTGCTTATGATTTGAGACTGCTTTGTCTTGTTGTACTATTTTGGTAAAAAAAAAAAACTTTACCAATCAGGAAATTAATCATTTAAATATTCAAGTTGGATCATCTAATTCACAAATAACAACAAGAACAGAGAGAATGTGCTTTATTCTGGTATGTTACCATTTGTGTTTTTTTTTTTTCTTTTTTTCTACAGAAAGAGAAAAAAGAAATCTGTTAAAAAGACTAGTGTGTCAGACCAAAACAAGTTGAAATTTTTTATGATATGCAAATGAGATGATCGTCTACAAATATGGAGCAAAATTGCCGAGATTAAGGATTAAACTGGACCCATGATCAGGATCAGATTTCACCCACTCTGGCTTTCCCACTGGATAAACTGAGAATGGAGTTTGATAAAAGTTGAGATTTGGATTTAAATTATATGTAACAAACTTCTAGTCTTGCTCTCAAAATATTTTCACCTCAGCATTGATGTGCACTATCTATTTCCATACACACACATATATATATATAGGGTCTTAGTTAAACGACTCCCAGAAATTGGAGTTCCGACTCCCAAATTTCTAAGGAGTGTCAAGAGGACCGTCTGCCAACGGTCCTCAGGAC